AATCATTGAGCCCATTCAGATAATTTCAGTGGGTACAAGATCCCTCCTTTTATTTGGATATCCCTCCCCCTACAACATTCCAAGTCTGTATCTTAGAAAGAGTTAAAATCTTCTAGATTTTAAATTGCAAGATTGTAAGAAAAAAAATCTCCTCAAATTATACTCTTTATCATGAAAGTCATAATAAAGAAGCTGTGTGCCTGGATGTTGCACAGAATAAGAGGCTGGCCTCATGAAATAATTCTGAAAGCAATATAATTTCATTCTTCATATCTGAACATCTTATCTGTTAATAAGGTTGAAAGAAATGTCTGAATATTTGTGTTGTTTTAAAAAGTGAGCATATTTTCTTGTGAAGTGAGTTTCCCCTTATGTTTTCATAGCTCGATGTTCTTTTAATTTCTATAGGTAAAGTTAAAAAAAACAACCTTAATTAATTAAAAAATTAAAAGCAACCTCTTGCATGATTAATAATTAATAGTTAGAAGTTAAACAACATGACTTCCACTTTTCAGTATAGGAAATACAGATTTTCTTCATCCCTTATTTGTCTGCGTATAAATAGGTAGTATCATTATGCTAGAGAAGGATTAAGGATACTCTGACACAACTTGCAATGCAGAAGTTGTAAATATTTCCAGAATTTCAGCTGCAGCCTATGCTCTAACCTCTGACTGACTGGATAAAGAAGAGAATGGATATTGAGAGGTGAAATGTTTGAATGTGCATGCTTATGTTAGGAATGCACAAAATATTTCAAACCCCAAACACTTTGACCCAACAATAGGCTGTTCTGACCTTGCTAGAAATATTTAGAGCTCAAAAAAGGTACTTGAGCTCAAACTCAAAGCTCTTCTGGATGGTCAGTGTAACTTGTTTCAAATTCAAAGGCACTGCTCTGAACTTCAGATGAAGTATTTTGAGCTTGAAGCATAAAGATTTTGTGTACCTTTGGCCTACATGTACATCCATTTGTCTGTTCATACTGTACAAGAGAATGATATCTATACATGAGACAGCTGAGCAGTATAGAAAAGGTTTTGAAGATTTGGAGGGAGGTCATTGCTTATTATTGGAAGTACCCCATACTTTACTTTCTCTGATGAAACAAAAAGATGTATGTACTATCATGATAGTTTTGATGGTTCTTCTAGCAACCATTTCCACTTTGTCATTGCACAGATGTAATATCACTTCCTACTAAAGTACCAGTACTAAAGTTTACATAATAATTTGAAAAACACCAAAATATGTTTCATCAAGTGGATATCTATATCTGATGTTCTTGGCCAGAATACTTTTAAAAATATTCCTGCTTGGTCCTGTGGTATATATAGATAAACCCTCACATAACCAGCTCTCATCTCAGTGATTGAAATTGCTTTCTAAAGTCTTGATAGGATTTCATGATACCTCACATTTTATCTTACAATTTTTTCATGTGGCCACCATTAAATGGCTAGTATTTTGTTAATAGCTGGAATATTGCAATTTTTACATTGTTGAAGCTTACACACACACACACACACACACACACACAGAGTTATTGATAACTGCTTTCTTTTTCTCTATTGTTTTATTTTTTCTCTTTGATCTGTTTCCTTAAATACATGAAGCCAATTTTTTTTTTTTAGAAACCCAAATGATGAGCTGGATAGAATATTATTATCTGAATTTCATTACATGTATGTATGTATTGATATTGTATAAAACATAGTATTTCCAAGTTTACCAAGACAGTTGGCTCAACATTGAAATATTGGCAGCTTCCCAACATTCCAGCATTTTTCCAAGCAATTTCTAGCAATTAAATGTAGCATTATTACAGTTTTTGCACCATTTATGTTCGCTCTTTACATGAAAATATAACTGATAAAGTTGACCACCTTATCCTTCTGGACAGGCTGCATGGGTTAGGAGTGGGGGGCACTGTGCTTTAGTGGTTCACCTCCTTCCTCAGTGATCAGTTCCAGTCGGTGTTGACAGAGGGGGAGAGATGCGTCCACAGCCCCTCACATCCAGGGTGCCTCAGGGCTTCATGCTCTCCATTCTTCTGTTCAACATCTACATGAAACCAATGGGCGAGGTCATCTGCCAGTTCAGGGTGCTGTATCATCACTATGCAGATGATACCCAGGTCTACATCTCTGTCCCAAGCAGCACAGGTAAAGCTATCAATGTCTTGACCCAGCATCTGGAAGCTGTTTGGATCTGGATGGGGCAGAACAGACTTCAGCTCAATCCTATCAAGACTGAGTGTCTGTGGCTGTTTGGAGCCCTGGGTCAGGAATGTTACCATCCTTGGTCTTGGATGGAGCTGCATTTCCCCATTCAAGACTGGTACATAATTTGGGGGTCCTTCTGGAGTTGCAGCTACTGCTTGAAGAGCAGGTGGCAGCTGTGGCCAGGAGGGCCTTTACACAGGTTCATCTTGTGTGCCAGTTGCACCCTTTCCTTGATCGGGAGGCACTTCAAACAGTCACTCATGCCCTGGTCACCTCACAATTGTATTATTGCAATGTGCTCTACATGGGGTTGCCCTTGAAAACCACCCAGAAGCTACAACTGGTTCAAAATGCAGCAGTGTGAGTAGTAACAGGTGCCTCTTGGTGTGCCCATGTGTCAGTACTGCTATGCGAGTTGCATTGGCTGCCAGTTGGCTTCCGAGTGCAATTCAAGATACTGGTTATTACCCATAAAGCCCTGTATGGCATAGGGTCTGGATATCTGAGAGACTGCTTGTCTCCAGTTGTTTCTGCCCACCCAGTACATTCCAGCAGAGTAGTGCACTCCAGGTCACCTCCATTAGACATTGCCATCTTGTGGGGCCAAGGAAGTGTGCCTTCTCTATTGTGGCCCCCACCCTCTGGAACAGCATCCCCCCAGATATAAGGACAGCGCTTTCTCTCCTAGGGTTCCAAAAAGTTTTGAAAACTTGGCTTTGGTGTTGACTTGGCTTGATGTTGACTATTTGTTTAATGGCCCCTGTTTTGTTCTGTTGATTTGTTGTTCATTGTTGTTTTAGTCTGGGCTGTCTGATTTAATGTTTTTAGCTGTTTCTGTGTTTTTTCTAGTTTTGTACGTTGCCTGGAGTTGGGCGGCCAATATATTTAAATATAAATAAATAAATACTAAACACAGTAGAATAAAGATAAGTTCTTCAGATTGATTGATTGATTGATTGATTGGAAACTCCCAGATTTTGAGATCTGGGTTATAATCCACTTTCAGATGAGCTTGGCTATGTTTTTCACTTGCCTTAACTTCAGCCTCTCATGAAACAATACTTACAATGCGCCTGTTGCTGGGCAATTTAATATAACTCTGTGATCCTGCTTTGGATTTGATTCATTAGCTTAACTTAAAGTCTTTCATCTTTGCTAGGTGCTTTGATTCCTTTTTTGTTCAGTGCTATCTCTTATCTTTTGTCCCTAGAGTTTATACCCCTTTTTTCCTTGTGGTTTGGCTTCTGCGTGCTTTCTCTGTTCCTGTTTGGCTATTTTCATTTGGATTTAGGAATTGGAGATTCTTTCTCATTCTCTCTCTCTCTCTCTCCACCCTCCCCCCCCCCCCGGCCCCCCCCCCCCCCCGGTGGTTGGTAGCCCACCAGCCTAACAGTTAAGGTACACAGACCTTGTGCCCAGTGTTCTTGTGATAAAGATTCTCTCTCTCTCTCTCTCTCTCTCTCTCACACACACACACACACACACAATTTTTATTAAAAGCTTTAAGAGCAGTAATAAGAACTAATGCAAACTAAATTAAAACAGAGAAAACAAAAAAGAGAGAAATAACAGAAAAAGCTAAAAGTGCAATAAAGAAAGAAGAAAGTAGAAAAAAAGAGAAAGATATAAAGAAAGATATACAAGTATAAAGAAGTAGCTTCCAATATTCTTGACAGCAGTTATAAGTACAATTATATTTTATCTCTATAGTTACATTGTGATAGAGATTCACTTCTTGAGCATATCTTGGTTATGTATGGATATATTATGCCTTTCAGTCTCATTTCAGTAATTTTCAGTTAAGCTAGCTCTATTTGGATTTTATCAGATATACATGTTAGGCTATATTGTATCCAGCTGAAGGTAATTTTTGTATTTTTTTTCCATATTTTTTTTCCATTCTTTATTAAACCTTTCTGTAACTTGCACCTTTAGAATATATCCATTTTTTCTGTGTTTCCTCTTATAATATATCAGCAGTCACCTAGGCTACCAACTTAGGTGGAAAGTGAAATCTTCCAGTATTGTCTTTGGATTAAAATACTTTGTCAGAAAGAGGAGTCTCTTTTCCTTTATATGTTCAACTTTAATTTTATCTTCCAGAAGTTTCCAGCCTCTGTACTGTTACGCTAAAGATTTCAAATAGCCTTATGCATCCATCATTGCTATAAACCTTAGAAGCCCAAATTACTTTCCAGTCAATAAAGACATTATTTGAACTTCTTTATGCCATTTAAGCAGTAGTGAGTTTGCTTTCTTTAGGGATAAAATTATTATTGAATAAGGGTGGAATTTATGGATGATTTGCTGAATAGAGTCTTTTAATAAAATGGGAAAAGAGTGGAGATGTGAAGCATAAAATAAAAATGAGGGTTTTTTTCTTAACACTTTGTTATGGTGAAATTGAAAGAAAAAGATTGATACATTTTGTAAAATGTTATGTTTTAAGTGATGAATTAAATTATTGAGGTGTGAAACATGCTAGTCTGTGTTTGAAAATACACTAAGACAACTTAAAAAGATGAGGCAAAAATTAATTTTTTATTCTTTGAAAATGAGAAATACTGAAAATGGAGGGAAAGAACAAGTTCAAATTACAAACTATACATTAAATCAGAAAATGAATTTGTAAAATGTGTATTCTGAATCTTGTTTCACTTTTCCTTGGCTTTTTTCCCCCTGAAAGTTAATGCATTTCTGTTTGTTTGGTAAAGGACAAAATTTTCTCTCTCTCTCTCTCTCTCTCTCTCTCTCTCTCTCTCTCTCTCTCCCTCTCCCTCTCCCTCTCCCTCTCCCCCTCCCTCCCTTGTTACAATGTTGCTATCTTCTGTTTTTAGTATTAATATATTGCCTATCGGCTTCTTTTAAGCAAAGACAGATAATATTTAAAATATTAACACTACTAATATCAATTTATTATGTGGCTTTATTGAAGCAGGATAGAATTCAAGGAAACACAGTCATTATAAAATTCTATCCAATAAAACTCTTCAACCTAACTGCCAAACAATAAAACATATATTTATTACTGAAACACATTTAAGCACAACTGTCAGTTATGCATAAAACAAAAACCTACAATATTTCAGGTGGTTCCTTTGTCAATAATATAAAACAGGTATTAAACTAGGAACTGCCGCCAGTAAGGTGGAATAAACAGGCCCATGCTCACCCACTAGTCAGATAAATAGATCCTTGAACCCCCTTTAAAAGGTTATCAAACCTTCACAAAAATGAAGGGAACAAGGAAGCTCTTTCCAGCATCATGAGGCCAGGTTCCTGGGAGCCTGTAATCTGGAAGCCACATCTCTAGAGAATCTCTAGTCTACAGAAAAAAGATCTTGTCCATATATATGTAGAGAGTGATTATAGAAAAAGATAGAAGGAGGCAGATACTCATGGGTTTGTGGCCAGAGGGCTCTTAAATGTAAGCACCCATAGTTTAAACTGGGTTCTGGCTTGAACAGGGAATCAGTGAAGAGTCTTGCAGTGTAATGAAACGTGAGAATAGTATGGAAGGTTTAGAAATATTCAGAGATATTGTTCTGGACTCGAAGGATGGACCATCTGCCAGAAAATGAATGCACTAATCTGAGTATAAAATAACCAAGGGAAACAACCAGATAAAACCCCAGCTTTCTCCATCAGAAACTCTCTGATCCTATGAATACTTTTGAAATAAAAATGTGCAAGTACCTTTGTGAGATTCATAAATTGGAAGAGAGTAAACTAAACATCAGTCAAAACCCCGAGGCTCTGGGAGGAAACTGGAATAATCTGGGAATCCTGCAGAAAAACTGGGGGGAAACACAATAGAGGATGAGAAGAACTATCAGGCTAACACACACCAATCTCCATCTTATCTGTATACAGTGAGGTGATGAAAGGATATTGAAGATGAAACATTAATAAGACATTTCAATATAGTTGATTATGTACCATCATCATCAAAGACTTCAAAAGATTAATCTGAATATCATCAACATCGGGTGAGAATTTCTCACACTGATAAGAAGCCTAGCAGTAGTTACCAAATGTAGTAACCAATGGATACAAACTACCCTATTCATAAAAGAAATTAACTTTTATAGTTCAGATTGATAAAAGGGACATCAGGTAGATTACAATGATACTGAAAACCCCAATCATGAATAAGACACACAAAGGAAGAGTATTAAGGGTAAATAAAATAGATTTCAGGACTGATTCTTAAAGGGAAACTCCTGGACTGTAATCTGCTACACAGTACTGCATTTCTTAAAGTATAACAGTTGTAAGTAAGTCCATTTGCAACAAAAAATAAATTCAATCAATAAAAGTTTCATCCCCAAATATAATTTTACAAACCTAGTTATATACTGCATAACAAAATATAACTATAAGAGTGCAAAAAAAAGTACTGCATGTATTTTAACACCCCCCCCCAATTTGTTTTCTTCTTTTGTTTCAAATTTTCTGAAGATTTTGACTCTGCCACAGGCAATTTTATCTCCTTTTGCATGCCCCTAGATGTTGTTAGAGTCTGCTCTGGAAAGCTGTAGAATTCTCTGGAACAGAGTTTGGGAGGTTGCAGGGGTAATCTGGGGAGAAACAAGTATAAATGTTAGCTGCATGAATGGACTTCTCATTCAGCTCTGGATACCATTCTAAGTCCCATTCTTGGTGCATAATATGGAATAGTTGTCATTTCAGTATAAGAAAACAGTCCAAGAGCTAGAGGTGAACAAAGCTGTTTTTTTATTATGGGCAGGAAGAGAAAAATTAAATATATATTTAACGTTTGTGACTATAACCTTGTTTCTATAGATGTTTCATTATCCAATAATGTACTGATGATGTTATTAGTTGGGTAATGAAACGTTTGCAAGCAAACAAGTTCGGAGAGCACCAAGAACTCCACAGTTCAGCCGTGAACTACATTTATTCTCTTCTGTTGCTTCATATAATAAGCAATATAGGCATTTGTTGTAGCCTGAACTTCTCCCTACTTATTTTATGAGTCTTGTGTTTCAGATAGCGGTAGTGTTTTTCCAAAGTGCTATATGTGACAGGGAGGGTGCAATTTCCATATAATATTTTATTAAATAAATAAATAAATAAATACAAAGTGCTGTCACTTTGTATTTATTTATTGCTTTCTATCTTGCAATATCTGTTTATTATCTGTTTATTTTTCATAAACTATACTGTAGGGGTTGATCATCAGTGTTAAGGATCTTTAAGGTATTGAAGCTTGGTCCTCAGTATGGGGATTTGGGGGCATCTCTCTCTTTAATTTAGAAGGAAACATTTGCATTTCTTGTACCTGAGACTATTTTGTTATAGGCTTTAGGAGAAGATGTGAAGCATTGTGTTGTTAAGAAAACCCTTTGTTCTCCCCTGCCCCATTTACTAAAGGAGGGGTAGCAGAAATTTTTAAAAAACTAAAGCCTCTTTTGTATTGTTTTCTTTCAGACGATCAAAGAATGGAATAAAATATTTCTTTAATAATTCCAACATTAATATATCTTGAAGTATACGGAGAATAAAAATTCTGATAGATTTAAAAATTTGATACAGAACAAAATCATAAATATTTAGATATGGTAAACCTGTGTGAAGACATGAGTCTTTAATAAATGCCTAAATTATATAATAGCAGGCACCTCCTAAATATCACAGTACAAAGCATTCCAGAGAATAGGTACCATTACAGAGAAAGTCTATTTGCAAGTTATGGCAGAAATCTCATAACTGCATCTCATGATCTTAACCACTGCCCGGTCTGTATCTGGAAAGGCAGTTTTACAGAGGATTCTGATCCAAAGTTGTTTAGACTTTTACTGTATATGTTGAAAGCAAAGCTTTGAACCTGGCTTAATAGCTGATAGGTAGGTCATGTAGTTGATTCAACACTGGTATAGTATGGCATGCCTAGGTGCCTCACTGCAACTTCAGTATCAGCGACTTGTGTAGACCCATATAAATTGTATTACAGTAATTTAAATGTGGATGATGGTGGCTAGCCTATTCTTTTCCAGAAAACAGTAAACAGATTTACCAGTCAGAGGTGGTAATAAATGCTTATGGCCACAGGCGTCACTTGATCCTCCAGTAAGATTAATGAGCAGGAGCATTTTCAAGCAATATACTTGTTATATAGGAGGCTATATGGTGTCACCTGGCATAGGTAGTATATACCACATGCTGGCTAGGGAATTCTGAGAGTTGAAGTCCATGCAAGTTGCTGAGGTTGAGAAACACTGGGTATGTACTATATATTCTGCACTTAGTTAGGCATGCATTTGATTCATATATTAAGAGTGCTCAGGCATTCTTTCTGCCATGGAAGAGCATCAACATAGCAGTAAAGGTTGGGGCAGTTACTAGTGCAGCAAATGAGTTACCTATCTACATATGAATCTATTTCTACCTACCTCTTTTTATTATCAGTGTTATATTAGTATAGATCTTGGCTTTCAAAATGGAAATTTTTGGTTTCTCCAGGAGCCAATGAAGTCAAGAGCACCACAACTGCACTTGGAATACAGATTCTACAAGCAGCTAGGATCTGGAGGTAAGTATAATTTGTAGTGGAATAGAATCGTTATTGAAACAAACATCTATCAGCATGTATGCCTGTATAATAGTATTGGTTTATGCTACTGACTGTATTTTTGGCAGAAATATGAAAAAGAATTTTCTTAGTAAGTCTCCTCACGCTCTGTAAATCTGACAAGGGAGTCAGGCTAGCTTTTGTCCTTTCATTGGCAAGCAAGACTTGATCAGTTCTTACTCAGGCCTTTCACCCTTAAGTCAACTTGCTGCTGAAATCTAAATGATCTGGTTAGTTATTTCTTCCTAATTGTTTTGTTTTCAATAATTTTAATTATTTAAATGTATTATTTTTTATCAATATTTTACTATACAGTATTTGCTTAAGAATTATTTTTAGTGGAAAGTTGGGAATTCGCCATTTGGATTATAAATGTTTATTAACTGGAATATTCGTATTGTACTAGACACTAAAACATTTAATGGTCTTGATATGTATAATTGATACATGTAAACTGCACATTTCACTGCAGTGACATGCAGCATTTGCCTGATGAGCCATTCAAGGTAAAGCCACCCATCAAAGTACCTTCTTCCTCATAATTCATCCTTTTCACACTACCTTGTAACTGAAAGAGTTAATGTGCTTTAATCATATGTGGCTATAAGTTTGATACTACTCATATAAGGTTAATTTTTAATTTAAAAAATACAGTAAGCTTTGATAAGGCATCTGCTATTCAAATAAGGTGCTCTATTTCTCATGGACATAGCTAGATATAAATTTACAAGCATTTTATACATGCATTTCCCATGACTAGCATTATAAAAATCATCATCGTGGGACAAGGTTTTACAGAGCAATCTATAATTTATCAAGGCATCACTGATTTTCAAAATGTACCTGTTTGCCATTTTAGATACTAATTAAAGATGAAAATATTTTGATTTGGAAATACTAGAGAGTCTGACAGCTGTCTTGACATAGTTTGAAGTTCCTCAACGCTTTTACATTAAGAATGCTACCAGTGAGGGTTGCAGCAAAACTCATTAGTTCTTCCTTTCATTTCTATTTAGCTAGTCTCACTAAAAAAATTACCTGTAATGAAATGGGAATTTTGTGACAATGAAATATGAAGAAGATAAAATGGTTTTCAGGAGAAATAATAACCTATACATATGTATAGATTTTATGTAGATTCGTTATTTGGATTGCTTATGAATCATGTCGCCTAAAACCTCAGGGTACATAAATCCTAGTATTAAAAGCATTAAAAAGCATCTGGGGGAAATGGGCAGCATATAAATTTAATAAATAAGTAAAATGTGAAATTGGTAGTTTCTATAGGTAATAAACCCACTAAGTATCTTGTACTGAATATCATGTTCTTCCATATATGTAAGCTTTTTATATATATTGTTTATAGGGAAATTGTTACATAACAGGCTGAGACTGAAGTGTTGTAGTGAAATTTCACAAAGGGCCATTGTTGTCTGTTGTGTTTTCTATTGATTTAATGATTATAACTAGGCAAGATGGTACATTTTCATTTGCAAATACTATAACTAAGATAAAAAGAAACCGAAGGCTATTCCTGAATCCTCTTGTGTTTAGAAATTGAATGCAACCAAATGTAATGAATACTATTTATTTTCACTTTTTAGATGGAATACCTCAGGTTTATTATTTTGGCCCTTGTGGCAAATACAATGCCATGGTGCTGGAACTACTGGGACCTAGTTTGGAAGATTTATTTGACTTGTGTGATAGGACTTTTTCCCTGAAAACTGTACTTATGATAGCCATACAATTGGTGAGTATAGCTTCTCTTTAAATTGTCTTCTATACTTTATACTTAAATAATAAAGAAAATATCACGAATGCACAAAGAATGTATCGTTATGGGTTCCTGGTGTTTTCTGAGCTTGCTTCTCTTCCTGCAGACGTTTCATTACCAGTCTAGGTAACAACATCAGTGCATGGGAGAGTGGAGTTTGCTGGCTGTTTATATGTGGTAGGTTGTCTTATCAGCTTTGATTTGGGCATTATTTCTTTCTTGATTGATTTTGGGGTTTTATTATTGTAAACTACCCAGAGAGTTTTGGCTTTGGGGTTGTTTACTTATTAAAAAAAAATAGAATGGGGTATTGTTTCTTCTTTGTGGTTTCTGTTTAACTGGTGCTGGTTCCTGCTTATCTGGGTGTTGGTTAATAGGTGTGTAATGAGGAAGGATGTGTTTGCCTTTTTCCTTTATCTTTGGTTGCTTCTTTTCTAAAATGGTTTGTAGATGGAGCTTATCTCAATATATATTTTAATGGCTGATTTGTCAGGGTTACATGCCTTTAGAAATTCTCTTCCATTTTTGGATCTGGCTTGGTCTGTTTACAGTTTCCCAATTAAAGTAGTGGGTTGAACTTGTCAGTCTGTTGTGATATTTAGGAGTTTTCATCATGTCTTCTGACTGCCAGTTGATGGTCATGGATGCTTTCACTCAAATTTCTGTCCCACATAACGGTTTTCACAAATTTCTTGCATTATATGTTGTAAATGCTTCCTTGGGTGTTGATCTTTGGGTTTTGCTTAGGAGGCTTTGGATAGATTTTGCTGATTTATGGGCTACCATGATGCCTAGGAGTTGTAATTTGTTGGTAGTTTCAGAGGTGTTTTTGATATAAGATCGAGTTATCCTTTTCATGGGTTTTGAAGGTTATATAGTCGTTGGTTCCAGGTCGCACTAGTGTCTGTCAATGTATCCAATAACTACAAAATCCATGAAAAGGATAATTCTACTATAAATCAAAAAGACTAGAAAGTTTGCTAGTGAAATAAATTATGAATTATAGTATGATTCTGCAGGCAGTACCCTTTTCTACACCTAAGTGGTGCAAGTGTAGCAGAATATTCTCAAATCTATGGATATCTGGCAGCCAGTTAATTTACAGGACATTTGAAATAAGGAGATTGAACAAAGCTTTTTCATCTTTGTCCATTCAGTGTCTCAAAGCTTAAAAATGCCTTTGTGGTATGAACTATCATTGACAATCATCGACAACACAAAATGGCAACCAGTGTATAATTTAATGAAGGGAATATTTTTTAAAAATGTACTCTCTTTAATGGATAGGTATATATCATAATCTGTATTTATATTATGAACCAAAATAAAATTAATATTAGGAGGGTTTTCATTTTTAATTTGGTTCATGACAAACCTTGTATTTCAAGACAGGACGACACAATAATACTTCCATTTGTTTTGTTACTAAAGTTATGATTTATTTTAATTTTTTAAAACTTTCTTTCATTCTATTTGATAGATTTCCCGAATGGAATATGTTCATTCAAAGAACTTGATATACAGAGATGTAAAACCTGAAAACTTCTTAATAGGACGACCAGGAAACAAAACTCAACAAATTATTCATATTATAGATTTTGGTTTGGCAAAAGAGTATATAGATCCAGAAACAAAGAAGCACATACCATATCGAGAACACAAAAGCCTTACAGGAACTGCTAGATACATGAGTATAAATACACATTTAGGAAAAGGTATGTATTTTTTAAGAGCACAAACATAGCAGCTTCATTAGATTTTTGTGACTAGCTTGCATATTATAATAATTTTTTTACAAACTCTAGCTATTTCATTAAAACATATGTATGGATATTATTCTTTAATGTTATCAGTGCATGGCAAAATCCTAATTTTTAATAAAAAATTTTAATGAACTGTTGAGTTCAGTTATACCCTTCCTAATGAATGCTTAGCTCTGAACAGCTTTTACAACTCAATTTTCCTTTTTTCCTTTTGCACAACTGGGTTTAAAACTAGGATTTCTTGTCTCTTAGGGTGACCACATCCAGTAGATAGGCCAGTTATTTACATACTTAAATAAGTCAGATTTATTTATTTATTTATTTGATTTATATAACTACCCATCTCACATGAAACAGTTCTGGGTGGCTAACACAATTACAACATCTGTAACAAAATGCAGAAAATAAAACACACTAAAAAAAAAAGGAAATGGCTATCAAGGAGGAACCAATGAACAACAAATTCATTCAAATCATGGGCTCAACCCCCTCCCAACCCCCACACCTGAGAAATAGCACTATGTCAGTTATTCCGTATCTTCATAGTGAGGGTTTATGCAGATTTAAAGAAGGTTTACAGTTTTCTCTTCTAATTTGGTCAGGAGTTCTAACTTGTGGGGAAGTTTGAATTGAAACTTTAGCTTGTAAATTGCTGAGAAAACTTGTTAAATTGTTGTTGAAAAAGTTGTTTAATACAAATAGTGTAAATTGCATCATAACTATGGTGTATAATTAATTTGGAAAGGAAATTTAGACAACTTCAACACTGCAGGTATATCAAATAATATATGATGTGCACAAAGGGAAACAGATATACCCTTGTATTTGAGCTTCATGCAGTAGCTGCCTGTGGAATGCCAAATGGAAATAAGCCATTTTTCTAAGTTTCAAAAATATTAAAAAATATGTAAAATAATATTGAATATTGAAATGTACAGTAATGCCTTAGTGTTCTGTATCTCCTCTCTTTTCCCCTGGAAATCTGTAGTCCAAAGATACCAGAGGAAAAAAAGAGAAAGCTTGGAATCATAACATTCTGATTAGTTCAAGGATGAGTCTATGTAGCCAATTAATGCTTTTACATTTAATGGGATTTGGCAGATTTGATGGAGTAGTTAACTGGAAATTAACATATTCATATTTATCTGTTCATATTTATCTATAATTACCAAAAAGCTTTACATTATTTTATACAGTTTCATACCTGTACATATTTGCCATTAATTTCATATATCAGTCCAGAAATCTAGCCTTCACATTTTCAATTTACTTTTTCAGAGCAAAGTAGAAGAGATGATTTGGAAGCTTTAGGTCATATGTTCATGTATTTTTTAAGAGGCAGCCTTCCCTGGCAAGGCTTAAAGGTAGTATATGAATTCTTTTGGTTTGTCTTGTTTCTTCTGATATTACCAAATTTTCATAGAATGTTTCTGAAGCAGTTAACTTAATGCTTTTTCAAACTTAGGCAGATACGTTGAAAGAACGGTATCAGAAAATTGGAGATACAAAGAGAGCAACTCCTATAGAAGTATTATGTGAAAACTTTCCAGGTAAAGAGTTTTGCTATTGAGTAGGCTATGAGGTGGCTATATTGCCAGTTATACTATATGTTATAGTGTCAGCACAATTAGTGCTGCAATAATTAGAGTCATAGAGTTGGAATGGCCGTTTAAGTCACCAAATTGCTTCTTGCACAGTTCAGGAATTGAAATTAAACCTGTCTATACTTCCGTAAATGATGAGGAGCACATCACTTCTCTGGTTAATTAACTCCAGTGTAAAGCTGCTCTTATTGTTAGGAAGTTTTATCTAACATTCAGCCAGAATCTGCCATCCTGTAACTTAGATTCACTGTTTCCTGTCTTAAGTCTGCAATAAGAGATACCAAGTTTTGACCTATTTTGTGTGTGGATATACTTAATGAGTATTTTGAAGAACGTTGACTCCTGTAATATTTCTAGTATTCTGGTCATCCTTATTGCCTTTCTCTGAACCTGTTTCACTTTCACTGAATCCTTCTTAAAATATGATGTCTAGAACTGGACATAGTATTTGATATGGTATCGTAACAAAGCAGAATAAAGTAGAGTAATTATTTCCCATGATTTGTTTTGTTGATGTAGTCTAATATTGCTTTTGTTTTTTTTATAGCCACATCACACTGCTGGCTATATTCAATTTGCAATCAACTATTATTAGACCTTTTTTACAAGTGCATTTACTAACCCAAGTATCTTCCATCCTATATGTATGCATTTGATTTTTGTTTCCTGAGTGAAGAATTTTGCACTTGTCTCTGTTAGAACTAATTCTGCTACTTTTAGCCTGTTTCTCTAACATAGTGCTCTTTAATCTGGGAGTTTATCCCACCTTCTGCCCTCCCACATGAGTGTTTCTTGATTTTCATGAGCACTATAAAAAAGAAGGAAGTAATGAACTTGTTCATCTGGCTGATTTTTTAAAAATGTGCAGTTTTCCTTGTTTATGTGTTTGTCAGAACATGTTGCCATTTTATTTGTACTTGGCATCCTGAATTAGTTCCATCTATGACTCAGTAACAATATCAGTAATTCCAGAGCTCATGCTGTGTGCCCATGTGCGACTCTTGTTACTGAACAGTTAAATTGGTTATCAATCTAACTGAATTCTTGTATATTTGTTAAAATGCCATGAAAAATGTAAGAAGTTATCCAATTGTCCCTGGTTTTGAAACCATGCCTCCAAATATGAATTACTGTCATCATTATTTATAAAAACAACTTGGCATATAGATTGAGTCCTCTTATAGCAAGAGTCTTCTGATGTGTTTACTATTTCAGCAAACATTTTCAAATGAAGGAATGAAACTATCTCAACTCTGTGATCATCTTCATGAAAAACACCCAGACAAAAAGGATAAAGATTTGGAATATTTCAGAAATCTTCATGATTTGTTTATTAAACATTAAGCAATACTTGCAATATTTTTTTCAAAAAATGTTCTTAAAAGGTCAAACACAGACTTACTCATTTTACCATATTTCAGAGATTATTGCTAACACAGCTTTGATAATGCCATGTTTGCAGGAAGTTATTTCTATAGTAATGCATCAAGAACCAATTGAAATATTGAAACTCTTATCAAATAGTAATACAGTGGTACAAAGGAGCATTGATGAAATGGGTAATGATGTTGAAAACAATAAAATTCTCCTTATAGTTGGATGAAGCTGTGGACAGCAAAGTTTTATTAATGGACTATGTACTGTATCTTGAAGATAACTTTATCCCATAGGAAGATATGCAGTTTGCAAAATGTCTTACAGCTGTAGCAAATCAATTTTGCTGCATTAAAAGCATACTTTGAAAATGCCAGTATTCCATTAACGAACATTATCGCTTATGTAATTGATAGAGTTCTATGGAAGGAAAATATTGCAGATTTATGGCATTTTTGAAGAAGCAGTTCCAGATGTTTTTTGTATTAATTGTATACTTCACAGAAATCACACTGCTGAACATTTTATGTCCAAACTTACACAGCTCACTACATATTGTAGTAAATGAAATAAATAAGATTAAAATCAATTCCAAAAGGATAAATTATTTCAACAACTTTATCAAGACAATAAACAGCAGCTTCTTCATTTGTTTTTTAAATGAAGTCACTGAAGTTACCATGCATAGAAGCAGTTCCTAATCATTCCCAGTAACTATGAGAAAACACACTATTCTGAATTTATATCCTGATTCTTTTGATAAAAATATATTTTAAAACTTAAATTTTGTTATCCAATCTGAATATTGTCATTTGCATTTCAGGGACTTTAGGAAATTTAGATTTTTTTTTTTGCAAATTGAGACGTTTTTCAACTTTACATATTACTTGTTTCTTGCTTGTGTTTATGTGTATCTCTTTCAACATTTCTGAGGTTTTTTTCACTTAATAAAGAAGATGGAAGAGCATGAGGCAAATAAAAATCATAGGAATAGCAGGTCTTGCAGCATTTTACAACAACAATATGGGCTGGATATCAGTTTTGGTATAGTGACAATACGCTGTTCTGCTGCAAATAATGTCATCCAAGCTCTCAAAGTTTCATCTACCCCCTCCCCCCAAAAGCAATATTACTAATTTTTATTCATTAATGTTGAAGTTGAACTAGCTGTAACATTGTTTAATAGTAACATTTTAATAAATATTTCATTAATGACATATATATTGAATATTTTTATTAGTGGCTTTTCATTTTTTTCCCCCCAGTGGAAGAATAACCTGATAGGAAAAGGTTGGAAAAGCTGGGTATATACATTATTTTTCTATTCCCTATTCTATTTTCTATTATGTGTATTAAATACTAATTTATGAAGATACTTTCTCTTTTTATACTAAAAAGCTGAGGCTTACAGTAATTCAAAACTAATCTTTCTAGCAGTTAATATTATCAATGCTTCTTTATTCATGTAGAAGAAATGGCTACATATCTTCGTTACGTGAGAAGGCTAGATTTCTTTGAAAAACCAGATTATGACTACTTAAGAAAGCTCTTTACAGACTTGTTTGATCGGAAGGGTTATATGTTTGATTATGAATATGACTGGATTGGTAAACAACTGGTAAGTACAGTTCAATAAGTATTTTTTATTCTCTTGAAATAATTGTGTGTTTTAACAGACAGTATAAAATACAGTAGTCTTTATTTGGCTTACATTGAATGGTCTTGTATTGCTTAGGTAATGTTTTATAGCTCCATTCTTTGTGATAAGATTATGATAATAATAATTATCCTAGTTTTCTGCACATTGACACACTGGCTATAAAAAGTCATAACATAGTTGAAATTTTCTAAAAACCATTCAGTCCACTGTTAAAACTAATTCAAATTGGAAGGTATTGATTCATTTCTTTAAAAAAATGAAGAAATAAGAATGTATTAAGAGGAACATGCCCTAGTTTGTCAGCAAAACAGGAGAGAATTCAAATCAGAGGTGGGCAACATGAGGTCACAAGCCAAATGAGGTCCCTGAATCTTTTGCTGGCTTTTGGTCATAATTAAGTTTTTTTTATTTGATTTAAGGTCCCTGAACCTTTTTCTTGTGACCCCAGGCCACCTCTGACATAGTTGTCAGGAATTGGTGTCATAATTTCCTGCCATTTCAAGATGGGAAACATAGTAATATAATCTGAGACTGCAGTTAAGCATCATTTAATTTATAAAATAAACACCCTGAATTCCTGAATCTTAAGGATCTGGCTTCATCTACTTTGCATCATCATCACCACATTATGTGGCCATTGGGTAGCCATAAAGTATTAAGTGTAGCCAAAAGGTGGCAATCGTTGCATGTCTTTCAGTATGGGTATAACATACTTTTAATATTGTGTACTTGTTACTAATCTGGTTGCAACATTCAGCATCACTTGACTTCTGATCACTTAAAGATAGGTGGACACGGAGCATGTTGGAATGCATTTGTCTCATGCTTGAAATATTTCAAGGTTTTTGTAGACTTTTTGAGTAGAAATGTAAGTTGAAATTGTAGAAACAAACTGTAAAATTATATCTCGATTCATTGACTGTATTACTGTTGTTACAGTGTGGTGAAAAGAGCTAATAAATGCTAATAAGATCTCATTCACAGCAATTTATATTGATTTTTAGGGTCCTCAAATAGTTGCTTGAGAAAATGGGAAACTTCAAACTAGGATAGGTAGCAAAGTCTATTTGTAGAACCTCCTTTAGTATCTGTTACTTTGCAGCTGTACCTGGTTTTAACTCTAGTAAATGATAGGTTGTAAAGCTCAGTCTAGCCTTTACAGTAATTTTATTTGCAAGATGCCTCTGCACTCCACATTGATTTCATAGTCATTCTTACAAAATAAAAATGGTTGTTGGCTGTAGCTGAATCTTGAAAGTATGTCCATCTTTTCAGGAAAATAGACTAAGCTGGGATGGTAGGGACTAGAAGTGGTATCAAAGAACAATCTCAGTAATTTACCTTCCTGTAAATCGTTACTTTATAATTGGCCATGTCTATCATAGAAGCCATATCTTTTGTGATACCAGCACAATGTTTTAGCTAGATGACTGGCTGTAAGAGATTTTCGACTCCTTCTATAAAATGTTTACATTTAATCTTTCTTATCTAGTATCTTAATGAAGTCACAGCATATTAAATCAGTTCAGCATACTAGGTGAAATTTAAATGGCAAATTAAGCTTATTATCAGATGCCAATTTCTGCAATACAGGTGGTCCTTGCATAATGACCACTTGTTCAGCAACCGTTCAAACTTACAATGGTGCTGAGTGGTACTTACGACCAGTCCTCGTACTTAACGATGGACACAGTATCCTGCGGTCATGATCACCATTTGCAACCTCCTTTTGCAGCTTCCTACAAGCAAAGTCAATGGGAAAGCCTGCAGGAGGTCACATATGGCAACCACATGATGTCCTTGCTTAACGACCCACAGTGATTTGTCTAACAGTGGAAGTGCTGGAATTTTCATTGCTAAGTGGCACAGTTACTTGCCGTCATGCTTTATGACTGTGTTGCTTAGCAATGGAAATTCTGGTCTTAATTACCATCGTTAAATGAGGACTACCTGTAATGTGAAATTTTTGATCTTCTGAATTTAGATCCTTAAGTGAAGCAATTACCTAGGAAATCTTGATTAGGTTTTGTGTGTGTGTGTGTGTGTGTGTGCACCCCCAAGTCAGTTTTTAAGGCCCTGCAATCCCTGTATATTCTAGTAGAATCTTCTGTTTTATTTTCAGACAAGTTTAGTGAAATAATTATTCTGTGGATTTGAACAAAGTCTTGAAGAATATTACAAAATAGTTAATGGAATTAATTGAGTTGGAAGGAGCCATTTACACAGTGAATATAACACTCTGTTCCATGCAGAAATCCTAATTAAAGTATCTAAGACAGACTATTCAGCTGGGCTTGAATATGTTGAGTCCTTGGTGCTCTCTGAGCTTGGTTGTTTGCTTGCAGTCATTTCATTACCCAACTAGGTAACATCATCAATGCTAGTGAGTGTGGGGTTTGTTCCCAGTTTATATACAGTAGCTTGCCCTGCCAGTGTTGGAAGGGGTATGGTTTTCTCCTTGGTAGTTCCATGATTAGGGTATTGTTTTCTGCTTGATTGTTCATCTGGTGTTAATCCCTGCTTATCTGAGTATTGGCTGCTGGGGGGGATATGTTCTGGTCTCCCCCTCCCAGCTTTGTGTTGTCTCTTTTGAATGGTATGTAAATACGGTTTATTTCTATATGCCTATTGATGGCTGATTTGTTTGAATGCCAACCTTCCAGCAATTCCCTAACGTTTTTGGATTTGGCTTAGTCTAGGATGCTCACAGTTTCTCAGCTGAAACTGCGGTTGAGTCTGTACATGTGTTGTGAAATTAAAGAGTTTTCATTGTGTCTTCTGACTGCTAATTGGTATTCATGGATGCGCTCTACTAGTCTTCTGCCTGTCTGACCTAGATAGTGGCTGTTACAGTCCTTATGCTGTATGTTGTAAATGACTCCTGCTTTTTCTTCTTGGGCTACTGGGTCTTTTGGTTTACTTAAGATGTTTTGGAGGGCTTTAGTTGGTTTCCTTATGCTGTATGTTGTAAATGACTCCTGCTTTTTCTTCTTGGGCTACTGGGTCTTTTGGTTTACTTAAGATGTTTTGGAGGGCTTTAGTTGGTTTGTGTGCTATGATGATGCTGTTTGGGTCTAATAGTCTGTTGGTTGTTTCTGAGATGTTTTGATGTATGGTAGTTGCCCTCTTCATAGGTTGCAGTGGGTTGAACGGTCAGGCACTTTTTGATAAAGTTGTGTGGGTATCCATTTTGTTGGAAAATGTTCTATAGATGGTCTATTTCCTTTTTCTGGTGTTCTGGGTTGTTGTAATGAGCTTATGCTCACCTGAATAATGTTCTTACACAGCTTCTCTTGTGGGAGGTTGGGTTGTTACTTTGGTCATGGAGCACTTGGTTAGTGTGGATTGTTTTTCAATAGACTTGCGTTTCTAATTTGCCATTGTTTCCTCTGCTGATGAGGATATCGGGGAAGGGTAGTGTGGTGGTGTTTCTTCTTCCCTTGTGAATTTTATTCCTTTTGAAGATGTTGTTGATTGTTTCATGTTTTATTAAACTTTTTTATTATGACAAAGTTGTGGTCTACATAATGGATCCATACTTACAGTTATATGTGTGGGAGTGCTATAGTTTCTAGACACTGCATTATGGTCTCCGCTATGAGTCCTAAGAGTGGTGATCCCATGGGTGTTCCTCTGATTTGTTGATATATCTGTCCATCAAACTGAAAGTAGGTAGTGAGGCAGAGGTTGATGAGGTCCATGATTCTGGATATTTTGATCTTAGTGTCTAGGTCAGGTGCGTTGTGTAGCACTGCTGCCAGGGAATCTTTCGCTAGTTCTGGATCTGTGGACGTGAAGAGTACTGTGACATTGAATGAAACCATAATTTCATCTTCTATTTTTAGATCTCTTTTCTTCTATTGGGCTTGACTATATCTAGTGAAAGGGATATCCCCACCTCTAAGAATATTTAGTTCAACTGTTCAGCTGCTCTTACTGTTAGAAAGTTTTTCCTAGCTTTTAACTTTTAACAAATTCCAGTGAATTTGACTTCCTATAAGTAAAATCTATTCAATGTCCAGAGATCATAAAAATCTTGGCCTTCTTTTATGTGACTTATTTCAGAAGTTTGAATGGTCCTAAAGTGATGACTATAACAGTACTCAAGGTGGGGTTTGACTAGTGCAAAACAAAGTAGAAAAATTAGTTCCTGTGATTTAACTTAAAATAGCTTAATTACTAATTATTTAATTAATAATCACATCACATTATTGCCCCATATTCAGTTTGCAATCAATACTATTCCAATATCCCATAGTATATTTCACTGTATATCTGTGAATTTGACTTTTGTTTCTTAAGTAGAGAACTTTTGACTTGCCTCAGTTAAATTCCATTCTTTTAAGTTCAGCCCATTTTTCTAACTGAGCAAGGTGATTTTGAGTGTCATGTCTTTTAGGATATTGTTAGGACAGTTTTGTGTCACCTGTGAATTTTATAGGATCATCCCCTCCATTTCCTCATACAAGCAGTTGATAAAAATGCTGAAGAGTAGAGAACCTTACTGAACTCCACGTGGTACTTTGCTCCAATTTGATGAGGAAACACTGATGAGCATTCCTGGATTATGATTTTCCACACACCTATGAAACTAATAAATTATTTTAATATATAATTTACTTCATCTGCAGTTAATCTTATAATAAACCAATGAAATTATTCCCTTCTGTCCAAATATGCCAATACTAAAGGCCTGCAGGTAAAAGTCAAGTTATCATGGAAACTAAAAATAATCTTTCATTATTTCTCAACAAAAAAAAGTTACTATTTTCCCAGTTTTCTTATCATGTAACCATGATGTATTCTTTGCAGCCTACACCAGTGGGTTCCATCCATTCGGATCCTGCGATAACCTCCAATAGAGAAGCACATCCACACAGAGATAAGATGCAGCAGTCCAAAAATCAGGTATGCCATCCAGCAATATTATATGCCAGCTTTGTACTGCAGTGCCTTATGTAATAGTTTGTGACTAAAGTTGTATATCACTTGCTTCTTTGATTAAACATTTATTAATACCAGTGTTTTGATTGTAGGCTTTAAATAAACTTTGTGTAATGCTGTCTTGTACAATATAATGTTAAAAAGCTATTACTATTAGTGCAGGCTTAAAGGCATTTGGAAGTTTAATAGTGGATTTGAGATTATCTCATCTCTGTCTTCAAAGGGAATTTCCCCACCTGTCTTCACAGTGGTTAAACATATTATCATGAGAATTAGAGTTATGTATAATCAGCATTGCCTTTAAGTCAGGAATTGAAGCCAGCTTCAAATTCATATTTTAAATCTTTTTTATTAGTAAATTTTATTTGTTTTTTTGGGAGTAACATTGATGCTTATAAAATAATTTATTCGGTCTAAGAAACGGGAAATTCACTCTATAGAAGTGATCCTATGGTTTTCATTTAGTCTGTTTATTATTGTTGAAGTTGCTTATTGCTTGCCTCTCTTCTGAATCTATTTTTTTTTAATTTTAAAAAGTAAAACCATGAACTTTAAATGTAAGCAGGGATTTTAATATTATTATAATTCCTGGAACTAATTTGGCTTTTTTAAGAATGTTTTGGAAATAAAAAATAACCACATGGAGAATAATTTCTATCGGCAACAACGAGTGATAAAGTATTATACTTTATCTTAGTTTTTGTATTTGTATATACCCAGATTTTTCCAGCTATGTTGCATGGAACCCTAGGTTCAATGAGAACTTGATAGAGTTCTGTGAGACACTTAAGGATTTTTTTTTTTTAATTGAACAGAGCTGGTTTTCTATCACTAGAGCTTTGCCTTTTGATCAGGGGTTCATGGATTTTTTTTTTTTAAACTAACAGGTTCTATGGTTTGAAAAAGTTTGAAAAGTAATAGTAGCAATGAAAGAAAATATAGAATATTAGCGATAGCTGACATTCCCATATCAGCTAGGCTATTCAGACCAAAGCAATTAGTTTCATCCATTTTTGGTTTTTCTTAGTAGATACTTTCCCATGTCTAAGTTGGCAAGGGCATAGTGCACTAGGGTATTATAAAATATCTTAAACTAAACTTAGGGTCCATTTAAGCTTGTAAAATAGATTACCCAAGTGTCAAGGGAAGGATAAGTAATATATATTATAGCTGAGGTTGGAAACCCTTGCCTACAAATTACTGTTGGACAAGGCCACAGGTTCCCTGCTCTTGCATTGCATTTTCAACTATTTTAAAATATGGATTTGTAAGTACTTTAATTCCAAACATTTTAAAATAAATAATCTATTAAAATGTATATCAGTTTTGTCATCTTGACATTATTTTTAAATGTATAGTATGTTATTACTTTAAAATATAGTAAAACAGATTATGGACCTATTATGTTTTTAGCATTTAAGCATTAAATCTGACTATAATACAGTATGTATTAGTTAAGTGTGCATGCCATGGAAATACTGAAGTTCTGGTTTTATTATTTTGTGCTCCTCAGTTAATATTCTTGAGGTATTCATGAAATGGGAAACAAAATAGGTTTTCAACAGAACAGCCCACCTAAAACATTCTGTTAGAATATTCTGAGTTGCCTGTGTTCAGGTATTCCATGTCTTAATGGGACAAAACAAAAAATTTTTTAAATATTGGGGCCATAGGAAACAATGGGAACTCAGAACAAGTTCCCTACTCCTTTGTTTTTCATTCACTGAGGGTGGCAGTCCAGTTTTACATCCTTCTCCCCAAAAATATGTATACACTGTGTGCACAATTAGTAGGCAAGTGAGTATTTTGACCATATCATTTTTATGCATATTTTCCACCTCCAAGCTGTAT